TATATATATCTCAAATATGCCATCTGTTAGTCAACATAGCAATATGGAGAGAAAAAAAGAGAACGGAAGTGGATGTAAAATGAGTAGAATGTTTGTATAGTGGTGCTGGTTAAAGGTGGGGAACAGCTGGGGTCATAGGTGGCATACAGTCAACTCCAGAATTACTGACATCCTTTAAGAGTTCAGATGTTTGGAATATTTCCTTTTGCTCATTTTTAATAAAGGGTGCCAATTATTATATGCAATACTGCGTGTAATTGTGGTGAAATACAGAGCCTATCTATCTATCTATCTATCTACTACACTTATATAATATGACTGTGGCAACTTGATTGTTCTTATAGTGACATACACATACCCACACACACACAATCAAATGCCCTTGTCCAGCTCTAGGTCCTCTCTCATTTCCTCATTAGCTCGCTACAGGTTTAGCAGACCACACACATACACACACACACACACACGGCTGTCTGCCTGATCTGATGGGCCACATAATTGGAAATGGCAGACTTTCTGCACCAGCACTTTGTAGTGTCCGAGTTATGCCGTGATTTATAATTTAATTATACTGATGTTCCTCTGTGTAGCACTTTGTTTAAACCCTGCATCAAGACTAACTTAACCATATCATCATCATGTCATGGCAGATGTCATGAGCTGTCCGGTAATATGAGTGGTGTGTTACCATTACCGTTAACTGTCATGAGAGCTGTCGTAATGTTCCTTTCCATGACAGCTTGTGTCAAGTGTGCTCTAGATAGCAGTTGTTTATATTATTTCATGCGTACTGTCATAACACTCAATAACATGATTGTACCACAGGGCTGTTGAATTCTCAAATCTGATTGGTCTGATTTTCTAGATTTCTCATTTTCTAGGCTGTAATTCAAATGACCGGGCTATACTAATGTAATTGTTTTAATACAGCTCAATCACAGGAACTTGTACAGCAGAATATCATAATACATAATATTAGCCTAATAATCAATATATTTAAAAAAAAATATGTTGTTACATAAAGAAAAATTAAGATGTTTATTTAACATTTATGGAAGAAGTCTCCAGTGTCGACACTTTTTAAGAGTCAGTAAGTATTGTGCCACTGGAAAGTCTGCATTTTTTTTTGTCTTATTAACTTCAAGATGGAGAAAAAAGCGAGGCTGGTGAGAGAATGACTCTTTTTATAGCTGCTATAATTTAAGTGATAACAGGAACTAACTTCACATGGACATTCCACAACATAAAATGTAACTATAAACGGTTATAGATAAAACAAATTGTAGTTGTTGGCAAATTGCTGTGGTACAAGAGTAATAAAACACTTTGGATTAGACATGATCTACTTCAAGCTGGTTACGTCGTGGATTTCTTTCCTATAACAGCATGTACGATTATGTTTTACACATGGAACAATCACTAATGATGTTCTAGTCAGCATTTATGTTAAAAGTTACTAGAAGCTGTTTGTAATACTGTCATGGACTTAATAAATTAAAGTGTTACATTTATAAGAAATTATATAGGTGAATTCATCAGGAGATTAGAACGTACGCTGCATAGCATTATTAGCAAACATTAGCATATTATACAGACTAATATTTTCATCAAATATGACAGCTGTTATGACAGTTGTTGATATTGAGGTGACTGTCATAAGAAATTATAATATCTATCATAATACTTTTAATGGGTCATAAAATGTATGCTAACTAGTAATCAATTAGTTTGAGCGTCATACACTCATATTTAAAAGGGTTCTTTGGATTGTCCCTCTAAGGGAACCTGTAAAGGGGTTCTCTACCATCAGAGAGTAGAACACCTTTGGGAAGCTAAGAACCCTTAAATATTGAAAGAACCTTTGAGAAACCTCATAGTGCTGTCATGGCAGTTATTGATTATGCTAAAATGACACTGTTATGCCACTGGAAATAAACTGTCATGGCAGGATATAAAATATACAATGGCATGTTTAAGACATGGTTATGTGAGTCTTGAGAAACAGGGTTTAAGTAAATTGTTACCATTTCCCTTCACACTTCATGTATCTGTACATGTGTGTATCCGCTTCACTAGGGTTAAGCGTAGAACATCAGTGAGAGAGAGAACACTGTTTTCCGGTTGGTCTCTGGTGATCGCTCATGTTTGTGATTGAGCTCTCTGCTTCAGAAAGCTCCCTGAGGAATATGGTCGTGTGCCTGTGATCATGTGACCAGGATTATGTGTCTATGTGTGTCTTGGGGAACAGACTGACTCTCAATCTCACACTGAGTTTGTGTAGGTGTGTGGGCATGAAATGGAGAGTGTGATGTAGTGAGAGATAGCATTCCACAACATAAAATGTAACTATAAACAGTAGTTGTTGGCGAATTGCTGTGGTATAAGAGCAATAAAACACTTTGGGTTGTGCAGTTATAGAATTAGAAATAATCTACTTCAAGCTGGTTTAGTCATGGATTACTTTCCTATAACACCATGTATGATTATATTTTTATATATTGAACAATCACTAATGATGTTCTATTCAGTATTTATGTTAAAAGTCATTAGAAGCCTGAGAAACCTCATTTGAGAAACCTCATAGTGCTGTCATGGCAGTTATTGATTATGCTAACATGACACTGTTATGCCATTGGAAATAAACTGTCATGGCAGGATGTAACACATTCTATGGCATGTTTAAGACATGGTTATGTGAGTCCTGTGAAACAGGGTTTAATTTCCCTTCACGTTTCATGTATCTGTACATGTGTGTATACGCTTCACTAGGGTTAAGCGTAGAACATCAATGAGAGAGAGAACACTGTTTTCCGGTTGGGATCTGGTGATCACTCATATTTGTGATTGAGCGCTCTGCATGAGAGGAACAAAATGTGTGTGTGTGCGTGTTGTGGCAGTAGCAGAATCCCCCATTGATGATTTCTGACAATAATAATGTTCTGTTACTAGAATATTTTACTAAAAAAAAGTTGTGAGGATGCAGGGTGACACACTGTGATGTCAGTTCATCCTGGGGGCGGGGCTTATTTCAAACCCACCCAGTTAAAAAAAAACTATCTGACACTCATAGGGTCCCTGGTGGTCTAGCAGCTAAGGATCTCCCACTCTCACCGCTGCGGCCCGCGTTCGATTCCCGGACAGGGAACCAACCCAGCCACTGGGAGTGTACTCTCAGTGCTGATCCCAAGCCCAGATAAAATGGGAGGGTTGCATCAGGAAGGGCATCCAGCATAAAACCTGTGCCAAATCAAACATGCAGACCAAAGATCCGCTGTGGTGACCCCTAATGGGAGCAGCTGAAAGAATAACAACATCTGACACTCATCAGTGCCACACTAGTGAGAGATCAGTAGAAATCGGGCCTCAAAAATGTACTGTTTTAGAGGTCAGGTAGTAGTGAGAGGTTTCTCTGTAAGCTGTAATTGAGAAATCAGAGAAAATATTGGAGATTTTTAAATCTAAATGGAAGTTAAAAATTAAAAAGGCATCTGATGTATTTCTCTTAATACTACAACAATTTCTGGTTTATAGAAGCAATGTGATATAACCTTTAGTGTCATTAAAGTATGACATAAATTATATTGTAGTTGTAGTCATTTATTACTGTATCATTAAAATACACTATTTTTGTCCTGCTATCAGACTGGTAATACATCTCAACCCTGCTTCTGAGTGAAACATGAGTGATTAGTGTCACAGAACCCTGACAAGTCAACTGTCAGCATTTCAGTTTGTTTCATCACAAATCTAAGCACGAATCAGGAGAACAGCGCTGTTTTTGTCTCTGAACCTGAATCTGGAAAAGTGCAAGTGTTCTGTTTATTTGTTTAGTAATAAGAATGTGACTCAGACTAATGATTCATTGTGTTTTCTCTGTGACTGATTACAGCCTGGCTGTGTGAATACGACAGAAGCTGACATCAAGAAATCCTCCAGGATGAAACAGCCTCACAAAACACGGAAGGTAAACCTGAGGATCAGTCGTCTGCACTATTTCATACACAATGCTGAATGCCGAACTCATGGGAGAATGAAATTTAAAAAGAAAAAAAACTATGGATTATTATTATTATAAACCGTATTAAACGCTTTAGAAGGTTTAGTTGGTGTTTTAAGTAGATTGAAGGTTGTACTTTTATTTTGTGCTGTTGGTGAGTTTATTGCTTACTTGTGTTTCATGGTGTTTAGTCAGTGTATGGTCTACAGAATGATGTCCGCAGTCACAGTCCCACACACACCAGCACACCTGAGGTTAAGGAGCCCACTGAGGAGGAGCTACAGGAACAGGTACACACACACACACACACACACACACACACACACACACACACACATGCACACACCTATAGGAGCTGACAGATGATTAGTTAGCTCGACAGAGGATAAAAAAGACTTATTTAACACTTATTTATTTCATACCCACCTTGTTAAACTTTTTTATATTTTTTTACTACTCTATCTGACACTCATCAGTTACACACTAGTGAGAGATCAGTAGAAATCGGGCCTCATAAATGTACTGTTTTAGAGGTCAGGAAGTAGTGAGAGGTTTCTCTGTAAGCTGTAAATGAGAATCGACAGAGGACAAAACACATGCACACACTCTCTCACAAGCTTAGACACATTCTGTAACACCTATGGATAAAGAGTCATGAAATGAGAATGAGGAAGAACAGAATGAGGAGGAACACACAGGTCAGAAGCACAAACATACTCTATCAAGTACATCTGTCCTTGTCCCTGTCACCTTGGCTGGCTAACTGGGTCAATGTGAACCTGGTTTCAGACAACCTGGAATGTACAGACTACTACAGAAATAAAAGTGTCATTGTGAAGTCAGAGATTCTGGGTTCAAGAGCTTTCTGGTCAGCATTGTGATGTCAGAGAGTCAGGGACTTCATCGGCATTGTGATTTCAGGTGTTCTGGGAGTTTATTAGCATTGTGATGTCAGACAGTCTAGGAGTTTATCAGCATTGTGATGTCAGAGAGTTTGGGACTTCATCAGCATTGTGATGTCAGAGAGTCTGGGACTTCATCAGCATTGTGATGTCAGGTGTTCTGGGAGTTTATCAGCATTGTGATGTCAGAGAGTTTGGGACTTCATCAGCATTGTGATGTCAGGTGTTCTGGGAGTTTATCAGCATTGTGATGTCAGGTGTTCTGGGAGTTTATCAGCATTGTGATGTCAGGTGTTCTGGGAGTTTATCAGCATTGTGATGTCAGAGAGTTTGGGAGTTCATCAGCATTGTGATGTCAGAGAGTTTGGGAGTTCATCAGCATTATGAAGACAGACATTCTGGAATTTCAATATCTATTCTACTTTAACTAATACTTTTCTGTAGATTAACTCCAAATCTCTGACTTGCTTACTTCAGAGATACCACTTAGCTTGAACAGTGAACAGCTACCACCTAACATCATAGACCATAATAGTGTCTATCATGTATTTGTAATATATTAAGTATCAGATATATTTGTAATTTGTATTTTTTAGCTACACTTACTTTGTATCTATACTCATTGGCCAGGTGGTTGTGATTTATTTTCTGGCATAAGTGGCTCTAGAAAGTCTTTGACACACCACTTTGTGAAAAGAAAGATATTAAAGAAATGTTTCAACTTTGCTGATATCAGAGGTCACTCGGTACTATCAAACAACTTTAGTAGTCATAGATTTTTTTTTTTTTTAAATCTGGATGAGAGGGTCTTTCTGTGAAGCTTGCTGTTGTTCAGACTGTTGTCCATTCTGACTAATGAAAAAAAGAAGAAAGAAGTGTTTAGAGTCTAGACTGTTTCCCCATCAAGTTCCAAGTAGAACCCTTTTATGAAGCCAAGGTCTCTTGGGGAACACTCCAGCATACCTACTCTGAAACAGGAACTAAAAAGGCTGCTAAAACTACAACAGTTTAGGGCAACATGTGCCCAATATTAACTTGAACACAAGCAAGTTAATACTGCGCACATGTTAAGTTGAAGCAATTGAACTAGTGAAGGAAACTTGCTGAAAGTGCACTTCTGTGACTGTAGCAGTGGCTGTACTTTAGTTTCCGTCTTATTTATTCATGCATACAGAGTACATTGCGAATACAGTACAAAATTAGCCTGTGCATTCATTAAATCTTAATCTGGCTGTTTAATGTTAATGAGTCAGAGAGGCAAACAGGAAAAGGGAAGTGTTTTAATGTAGCACACAAAAACTGACTTTTAGTTTCACTCTGAATTAATTTTAATAATTTAGTTGCCTAGTTGCTGTTAATTATTTATCCTGAGCTGTTATGAATATAATAACTGTTTCATGTTTGTGATTACCTTACAGATACAGTATTGGCAAGCACAGTTGGACAGACATCGATTAAAAATGTCCAAAGTTGCAGAAAGGTGTGTGTTATTCTCCAGCAACTCTGCAAGTGTTTAGGGGTGATGTGTGCAGTAGTATTATATACATATTAAATATAGTGCCATATGGGAAGTTATGCAACATGTATGAAACATTATGACTTCTATATATTGCCCTTTTTTTTTTTTTTTTTTTTTTGCTTCACTGCAGTTTGTTGAGCTACACAGAGCAGTACATGGAGTACGACCCTTTCATAACCTCACCTGAGTCATCAAACCCCTGGATCTCAGATGACAATACTCTCTGGGAACTGGAAGCCAGGTGTGTGTGTGTGTGTGTGTGTGAGTGTGTGTAAAACATTGCAATAAAATCCAGCACCTTGCAGCTGAAAAGAAAATAGAGTTTATATGCAAGACACGACTAGCAAACACAGGCTCAGAGCCAGAGGCAATATCCCCGGTTCATGCTTTCTCAGAAGAGATTCTGAGAGTGGAAATAAACTTGTGAAAAATCTGCAGAGTTCCTGGATTTTTTTTTTAAAACAGCAGGAGAAGTTTAGCACTCCATCACAAGGAGGATGGGGAAATAAACAGCAAGCAGGAATTTTACACATTTAAATAAAATGGCGATACAGAATCAGACTCTCCACTGAATTAGTACGGTTTTAGGAAATCAGTAATGTTTTAGTGAAAGTGTGTACAGTATGCTAGTTAAGGAATAAAACACTATGGGTGTGTAGGAAAATAATCAACAATGCAGCTTTGTGCTTGACATGAAGCAGTGTTACTGTTACCACCTCGAAGTTGTTTATTTTTGCAGCACATCCAGAGATTCTTTACTCCTTTTATACCACAGCAATTTGAATGAAACGTCATACTTTTTATCCGTTCATAGTTACGTTTAGTAGTGAGATAGTTCCTGTTATCACATTATAGCAGCTATAAACAGTTGTTCACCAGCCTCTCATTTATTCTTGATGAATGAAAAAAATGTACCTTGCCATGTTACTAAGACAGCACAAACTCTTCAGAAATCTTAAAGTTACAGCTTTACCTCTGACTGTTTTGTTTACCTCCAATAGTGTAGTTTTGCACCGTATTCAGCACAACCATGACACCTTACAGCTGCCACTATATTTAGTGCTGCGGTTATAGAAAATTGATCACTACCACCACCATTCTGACTAATCAGAATTGAGCGTTCGGCAGTGTTGTGGTATAATAGGGCTATATTTAATAGGTTTGATCTAAGCCATGAAGTACATGCTATCAGATGCTGCACACACTCCCGGTTCTCCTGCACCATTGCCTGAGCTTACATATTTACTGAGGTGTATTTGCTTAGAAGTAACCTTATCTCACTTTCATGTGTGAATCCATCCATTCTCTATCACTCACTCATGCTGCTGACAACAGATAGACCCCTATCAATGCCTTTAAACAATACCTCTCTCTCTCACTCTCTCTCTCTCTCGCTCTCTCTCTCTCTGAGCTGAACAGATAGAGTTGTGTCAACATCATTAAATGCTAAATCTCCATGTCTGTCCGTCACTCTCAGTTTCTCTCTTCCGGAGCGTGGTGAGAGGATTGAGTGTGTCAACATTGCTAAACCTTTTCTGTGGTCAGAGTAGAAGCTGTGCTGTTTGTCCATTCATTCATGTATTCGCCTTCAGTAAGCACTTTATCCTTGTGCCTATCGCAGGAACACTGGGCACATGGGGGGAATACACACAGCATTGGATGCCAGTACATTACAGGGCACTTTCTGGCCAGACTTCACTGAACTAGTCCTAATGTAGGATTCAAAG